TATAAAAATCAAATGAACATTCATATTTGACCTGATTGTTTATAGTTCATAATGAGTGATCAAAACCGAAAGTTTCTGTGATGACTGCCCTTGTACTGTTCACCATGTAAGAACTTATTCACTATGTAAGAATTTGTTCACCATGTAAGAACTTGTTCGTTATGCTTCAGAAGATTGGAGACTGACGAAAATTAGGCTTGGGGTGAATTAATGATTGTGCATTGAGCATTGACTCCCCTATACAGAATTTTATTGTTGTTAACAACCATTTGATCAATAAATATGAGAGATGCCCTCTCAAAAAAAAAAAATCTATCGATAGAAAATAAAAATAAAAATAAAAAAATAAAAGTAACTTTACTAGTGTGATTTGTACCCAAGAACCCTTTAATCTGAGATGCTTCAGTTTGGTCACTTACAAATTTTAAGTGAGATTTTTTTTTTTGTTAGCATTAATGTACTATTACATGAACAACATTAGGGTTACTAGACTCCCACTTACCCCATTACAGTCACTGTCCATCAGATGCTATAGAATCACTACTTGTCTTCTCTGTGTTATACTGCCTTCCCCATGTCCCTGCCCCCTATGTTAAACGTGCTAATCATAATTACCCTTTTTCCCCCTTCTCCCTCCCTTCCCACCCATCCTTCCCAGTCCCTTTCCCTTTGGTAACTGTTAGTCCATTCTTGGGTTCTGTGAGTCTGCTGCTGTTTTGTTCCTTCAGTTTTTCCTTTGTTCTTATACTCCACAGATGAGTCAAACAATTTGATACTTGTCTTTCTCCACCTGGCTTATTTCACTGACCGTAACACCCTCTAGCTCCATCCATGTTGTTGCAAATGGTAGGATTTGTTTTCTTCTTATGGCCGAATAATATTCCGTTGTGTATATGTACCACATCTTCTTTATCCATTCATCTACTGATGAACACTTAGGTTGCTTCCATTTCTTGGCTATTGTAAATAGTGCTGTGATGAACTTAGGGGTGCATATGTCTTTTTGAAACTGGGTTCCTGCATTCTTAGGGTAAATTCCTAGGAGTGGAATTCCTGAGTCAAATGGTATTTCTATTTTTAGTTTTTTGAGGAACCTCCATACTGCTTTCCACAATGGTTGAAGTAATTTACATTTCCACCAGTAGTGTAGGAGGGTTCCCCTTTCTCCACATCCTCACCAACATTTGTTGTTGTTTGTCTTTTGGATGGTGGCAATCCTGACTGGTGTGAGGTAATACCTCATTGTGGTTTAATTTGCCTTTCTCTGATGATTAGGGATGTGGAACATCTTTTCATGTGTCTGTTGGCCATCTGAATTTCTTCTTTGGAGAAGTGTCTGTTCAGCTCCTCTGCCCATTTTTTAATTGGCTTATTTGCTTTTTGTTTGTTAAGATGCATGAGCTCTTTTTATATAATTTGAATGTCAGATATGACATTTATGAATATATTCTTCCATACTGTAGGATGCCTTTTTGTTCTATTGATGGTGTCGTTTGCTGTACAGAAGCTTTTCAGCTTGATATAGTCCCACTTGTTCATTTTTGCTTTTGTTTCCCTTGCCCAGGGAGATAAGTTCATGAAGAAGTTGCTCATGTTTATTTCCAAGAGATTTTTGCCTATGTTTTTTTCTAAGAGTTTTATGGTTTCATGACTTACATTCAAGTCTTTGATCCATTTTGAATTTACTTTTGTGTATGGGGTTAGACAGTGATCCAATTTCATTCTCTTACATGTAGCTGTCCAGTTTTGCCAACACCAGCTATTGAAGAGGCTGTCACTTCCCCATTGTATATCCCCTTTATCTTATATTAATTGACTATATATGCTTGGGTTTATATCTGGGCTCAGAATATTTGGGTTTATATTCTGTTCCATTGGTCTGTGGGTCTATTCGTGTGCCAGTACCAAATTGCCTTGATTACTGTGGCTTTGTAGTAGAGCTTGAAGTCAGGGAGTGTAATTCCCCCTGGTTTATTCTTCCTTCTCAGGATTGCTTTGGCTATTCGGGGTCTTTCGTGGTTCCATATGAATTTTAGAACTATTTGCCCTAGTTCATTGAGAATGCTGTTGGTATTTTGATAGGGTTACATTGAATCTGTAGATTGCTTTAGGCAGGATGGCCATTTTGACAATATTAATTCTTCCAATCCATGAGCACGGGATGTGATTCCATTTATTGGTTTCTTCTTTAATTTCTCTCATGAGTGTTTCGTAGCTTTCAGAGTATAAGTTTTTCCCTTCCTTGGTTAGATGTAGTCCTAGGTATTTTATTCTTTTTGATGCAGTTGTGAATGGAATTGTTTCCCTGATTTCTCTTTCTGCTAGTTCATTGTTTGTGTATAGGAATGCAACAGATTTTGGTGTATTAATTTTGTATCCTGGAACTTTGCTGAATTCAGATATTAGATCTAGTAGTTTTGGAGTGGATTCTTCAGGGTTTTTTATGTTCAATATCATGTCATCTGCAAACAGGGATAGTTTGACTTCTTCCTTACCAATCTGGATGCCTTTTATTTCTTTGTGTTGTCTGATTGCCATGGCTAGGACCTCCAGCACTATGTTGAATAATAGTGGGGAGAGTGGGCATCCTTGTCTTTTTCCTGATCTTAAAGGAAAAGCTTTCAGCTTCTTGCTGTTCAGTATGATGTTCGCTGTGGGTTTGTCACATATGGCCTTTATTATGTTGAGGTACTTGCCCTCTGTACCCATTTTTTTGAGAGTTTTTATCATGAATGGATATTGAATTTTGTGGAAATTCTTTTCCAGCATCTATGGAGATGATCATGTGGTTTTTGTCCTCCTTTTTGTTGATGTGGTGGATGATGTTGATGGATTTTCGAATGTTGTACCATCCTTGCATCCCTTGGATGAATCCCAGTTGATCATAATGGATGATCTTTTTGATGTATTTTTGAATTCAGTTTGCTACTGTTTTGTTGTTTATTTTTGTATCTATGTTCATCAGGGATATTGGTCTGTAATTTTCTTTTTCTTGTGGTGTCTTTGCCTGGTTTTGGTATTAGAGTGATGCTAGCCTTATAGAATGAGTTTGGGAGTATTCCTCCCTCTTCTACTTTTTGGAAAACTTTGAGGAGGTTAGTTATTAGGTCTTCACTAAATGTTTGATAAAATTCAGCAGTGAAACCATCTGGTCCAGGCATTTTGTTCTTAGGTAGTCTTTTGATTACCAATTTAATTTCATTGCTGGTAATTGGTCTGTTCAGATTTTCTGCTTCTACCTGGGTCAGTCTTGGAAGGTTGTTATTTTTCTAGAAAGTTGTGCATTTCTCCTAGATTATCAGTTTGTTAGCATATAATTTTTCATAGTATTCTCTCATAATTCTTTGTATTTCTGTGGTGTCCGTAGTGATTTTTCCATTCTCATTTCTGATTCTGTTTATGTGTGTAGACTCTCTTTTTTTCTTGGTAAGTCTGGCTAGGGGGTTATCTATTTTGTTTATTTTCTCAAAGAACCAGCTCCTGTTTTCATTGATTTTTTTCTGTTGTTTTATTCTTCTCAATTTTATGCTTTAATCTTTATTATGTCCCTCCTTCTACTGACTTTGGGCCTCATTTGTTCTTCCTTTTCTAGTTACATTAATTGTGAGTTTAGACTGTTCATTTGGGATTTTTCTTCTTTCTTGAGGTAGGCCTGTATTGCAATATATTTCCCTCTTAGCACGGCCTTTGCTGCGTCCCACAGACTTTGTGATGTTGAATTATTGTTATCATTTGTGTCCATATATTACTTGATCTGTTTTTATTTGGTCATTTATCCATTGATTATTTAGGAGCATGTTATTAAGCCTCCATGTGTTTGTGGGCTTTTTATTTTCTTTGTGTAATTTCTAGTTTCATACCTTTGTGATCTGAGAAGCTGGTTGGTACAATTTCAGTCTTTCTGAATTTACTGAGGTTCTTTTTGTGGCCTGGTTTATGATCTATTAAAAATGTTCCATGTGTACTTGAAAAGAATGTGTATCCTGTTGCTTTTGGATGGAGTGTTCTGTACATGTTCGTTAGGTCCGTCTGTTCTAATACGTTGTTCAGTGCCTCTGTCTCTTTTAAGGGAGATTATTTTAGGCTAGTTGCTCTGTGCATGAATGATAGTTGACACTGTTAAACTGTTTTTATAGTTCATGGGCAGAATTAAGGTATATATCCTTTTCCTCTCCTAGGAGTTGGACGGTCGATGGAATCTAAGTTGACATCTCTGGGAATTGGAACTTGTGGGGACCTGCAGTCTCTTACCATGGCACAGCTCCAAAAAGAATTTGGTCCCAAAACAGGTCAGATGCTTTATAGGTTCTGCCGTGGTTTGGATGACAGACCAGTTCGAACTGAAAAGGAAAGAAAATCTGTTTCAGCTGAGATCAACTATGGAATAAGGTTTACCCAGGTAAGATCTCTTAACAGGTTTTATCTTACATTGTTCTTTATATTCTCTTAGAGTCCTGTCTCTCCAACTAACTATAGACTCTTAAAAAAACTTTAAACTCTTGGCAGTTCACAGAGCTTGCAGAATGTTTGTTTTTAATAGATACTTAGCAGGATAGAAAATAATATATGTGGTTAATATTCAAAGTTAAAATACTTGGAAAGTTAAGTTGTTAGGCATATAGGAAATAACATGAGAATTTTTCTGTGTTTGTCTTTCAATAGCCAAAAGAAGCCGAAGCTTTTCTTCTGAATCTTTCAGAAGAAATTCAACGACGACTTGAAGCTGCTGGGATGAAGGGCAAACGCCTGACTCTCAAAATCATGGTACGAAAGCCAGGAGCCCCTGTTGAAACAGCAAAATTTGGAGGCCATGGAATTTGTGATAACATTGCCAGGTAAGCTTATCTTCAAAAGAAGATTAGATGTTGATATTTCAGTACAGATTGTTATAATTACTGGAAAATGAAGAAAACCAAGGAAGAGTATGAATAAAGATCTGTAAACTCTGGTGTTACTTGACATTCCATAGAGCCAGGCCTGAGCCAAAGCACATGTGAATTATGTTAATGTGCTCAGGTTCAGCCCGTCAGGTGATCTTGTAGCAGTAGGTCAGCCCAGCTGTGTGTTCCTGACCTTCAGCACCTGCCCTTGGGGTCTTCAGGCTGTTAACTATAGTGCCCGACAGAAAGAAAAGGGAAAGGGTCAGACTTGCAGCCATGGAGATAGTTGTGGGCTTGCTGAAGGGGTTCTGTGGTGAAATTTCAATACAATAATTCAAAAAACTGATTTGAATGAGACAGACCATTTATGGAGGTGAAATTTTGTTTGTGCAAAGAGTAGTTATTGTAGTTTCTGAGGACTGGTAGAAAGCATTAAAAACTTTTTTTTTCTGAGGGCCATTAATACAAAACTTCATGGAAGATTTTTGTGACCAATATGAAACCTAATTTTGCCATTTTATACTACACAGTCCACTGTATTCTGTCAGTCCAAGTTTTGAGACTTTTGACCTTGAAAGCCACATATAGGGAATGCTAAAATACAGTTTAAGGGTTAGCTCATGCCAAACCACTTACCTTAAGTTCACATTACAATTACAATGCTGAGAGAAATGAGAGGGCTGTTCCCACACACAGGAAACTGCCAGCTCTATTACTGATGCATTCATTTACCAGGAAAAGAGGAATAATAAATTACACATTAAACAGAATTTATAGAGTATATTTGTATGCAGTTAGTAATCATGAGCTGTTAGATTTACCGTTTGTAATAAACATTTTGATATATCTGTGTTTCAAATGGTAGCTAAATGTAAACATTAGAGGTCATTTCTATAATAAGTTATTAGGCCCTTACTCAGCAATATAATCTTATGAAACCTGGTTTTTATGTGAAAATCAGATTCAGTTTATAGTACCTTTTCTGGTCTGTAACCTAGAACTCTTACTTGTTCAAGATACATGGGAAGGATCATCCAAAAACTGATTTTCCTCTGGGAGGAGAGCGGGTGCTAGTTCCTCTTGCCATGCATGCATTTAAAATGCCTTCCAGCGCTTGGCATTGTGTGCTTCCGTGCGTTCAGCAGTACCCAAGGGCTTGTTCTATCGAATCTTAAAAAAAATCAGCTTTCATTGAATCCTTTTTTGGAAAATCCAGATACTCCACGTATCTACGTAAAACACTAAAGAAAAAAAAAAGGGAGTCATTGTACTTTATCCCTTCAATTCAAGGATAATATTCATTCAGCTTTTTTATAAGCCCATACCTGATTGCCTTTCTTGGTATTTGTTCTATTTTTGCCCTAAACTTAAAGTTTTATTATGAAATTTAAACAAATATACCCCCATGTTTCCATCACCCGATTTTTTTTTGAGGAGCAAAAAAATGCAAATTTTTATTAAATTTGTCATTTTAGTGCAGTCCCAATGAAACTTAAAAGATATTTTCTTTTTTAATTAAAGTATTGTTGATATACAATCTTATGTTGGTTTCAAATGTACAGCACAGTGGTTCAGTATTTACCCATATGATTAAATCCTCACCCCCTCTAGTGCATTACTATCTGTCAATATGACAGAATCATTAACTGTATTCTCTGTGCTGTAATACTGTCCCTGTGACCAACTTATATTGTGATTGTGAATTATTGTGCTTCTTAATCCCCTTCCCCCTCTGCCACCCTCAGTAATCCCTCCCCCTTGGTAACCGCTAGTCCCTTTTTGGTGTCCGTGAGTCTACTGCTATTTTGTTCCTTCTGTTTTGCTTTGTTTTTATATTCCACAAATAAGTGAAATCATTTGGTGTCTGTCTTTCTCTGCTTGGCTTATTTCACTGAGCATAATACCCTCTAGACACACCCATGTGGTTGCAAATGGCAGGGTTTCTTTTTTTTTATGGCTATATAATATTTCTTTGCATATATGTCTCCTACATCTTCTTTATCCATTCATCTACTGATGGATGCTTAGGTTGCTTCCATATCATGGCTATTGCAAAATAGTGCAGTGATAAACATAGGGGTACATATATCTTTTCAAATCAGGGATCTTTTTTTTTATTTTGGTATCATTAATATGAGCAACATTGTGGTTACAAGATTCCCCCCATTATTAAGTCCCCCCCACATACCCCATTACAGTCACTGTCCATCAGTGTAGTAAGATGCTATAGAGTCACTTGTTGTCTTCTCGGTGCTATACTGCCTTCCCTGTGCCCCTTCCCCGCATTATGTGTGCTAATCGTAATGCCCTGTTTTCTCCCTTATCCCTCCCTTTCCCTCCCGTCCTCCCCAGTCCCTTTCCCTTTGGTAACTGTTAGTCCATTCTTGGGTTCTGTGATTCTGCTGCTGTTTTGTTCCTTCAGTTTTTGCTTTGGTCTTATACTCCACAGATGAGTGAAATCATTTGGTACTTGTCTTTCTCCACCTGGTTTATTTCACTGAGCATAATACCCTCTCGCTCCATCCATGTTGTTGCAAATGGTAGGATTTGTCTTCTTCTTATGGCCAAATAATATTCCATTGTGTATATGTACCACCTCTTCTTTATCCATTCATCTACTGATGAACACTTAGGTTGCTTCCATGTCTTGGCTATCGTAAATAGTGTTGTGATAAATATAGGAGTGCATATGTCTTTTTGAAATGGGGCTCCTGCATTCTTAGGGTAAATTCCTAGGAGTGGAATTCCTGGGTCAAAACATATTTCTATTTTTAGTTTTTTGAGGAACCTCCATGTTGCTTTCCACAATGGTTGAACTAATTTACGTTCCCACCAGCAGTGTAGGAGGGTTCCCCTTTCTCCACATCCTCACCAACATTTGTTGTTGTTTGTCTTTTGGAAGGTGGCCATCCTAACTAGTGTGAGGTGATATTCGTTGTGGTTTTAATTTGCATTTCTCTGATGATTAGTGATATGGAGCATCTTTTCAAGTGCCTGTTGGTCATCTGAATTTCATCTTTGGAGAAGTGTCTGTTCAGATCCTCTGCCCATTTTTTAATTGGCTTATTTGCTTTTTGTTTGTTGAGGTACATGAGCTCTTTGTATATTTTGGATGTCAACCCGTTATCGGATATGTCATTTATGAATATATTCTCCCATACTGTAGGATGTCTTTTTGTTTTACTGATGGTGTCCTTTGCTGTACAGAAGCTGTTCAGCTTGATATAGTCCCACTTGTTCATTTTTGCTTTTGTTTCCCTTGCCCGGGGAGATATGTTCATGAAGAAGTTGTTCATTTTTATATTCAAGAGAGTTTTGCCTATGTTTTCTTCTAAGAGTTTTATGGTTTCATGACTTACATTCAGGTCTTTGATCCATTTTGAGTTAACTTTTGTGTAGAGTTACCAGTTTCATTCTCTTACATGTAGTTGTTCAGTTTTCCCAACATCAGTTATTGAAGAGGCTGTCTTCTCCCCATTGTATATCCATGGCTCCTTTATCGTATATTACTTGACCATATATGTGTGGGTTTATATCTGGGTCCTCTATTCTGTCCATTGATCTGTGGGTCTGTTCTTATGCCAGTATGATACTGTTTTCATTACTGTGGCTTTGTAGTAGAGTTTGAAGTCAGGGAGCATAATCCCCCCACCCCCCACTGCTTTGTTCTTCTTTCTCAGGATTGATTTGGCTGTTTAGGGCCTTTAGTGGTTCCATATGCATTTTTAAAATTATTCTAGCTCATTGAAGAATGCTGTTAGTATTTTGATAAGGATTGCATTGAATCTGTAAATTGCTTTGTGCAGGATGGCCATTTTGACAATGTTAATTCTTCCTATCCATGATGATGGGATAGACTTCCATTTATTGGTGTCTTTAATTTCTCTCATGAGTCTCAGAGTTTTCGGGGTATAGGTCTTTCACCCCCTTGGATAGGTTTATTCCTAAGTATTTTATTCTTTTGATGCAATTGTAAATGGAATTATTTTCCTGATTACTTTTTCTCCTAGTCGTTGCTGGTATGCAGGAATGCAACAGATTTCCATGTATTAATTTTGTGTCCTGCAACTTTGCTGAATTCAGTTATTCTAGTAGTTTTTTGGTGAAGTCTTTAGGGTTTTCTGTGTGTAAATACCATGTCATCTGCAAATAGTTGAGTTTAACTTCTTCCTTCCCTTTTGGATGCCTTTTATCCCTTGGTGTTGTCTGATTGTCATGGCTAGGACCTCCAGTACTATGTTGAATAAAAGTGGTGAGAGTGGGCATCTGGATCCATGTCTTGTTCCCAGTCTTATGGAAAAGCTTTCAGTTTTAAGCTGTTAAGTATGATGTTGGCTGTGGGTTTGTCATATATGGCCAATTATGTTGAGGTATATACCCTCTATACCTATTTTGTTAAAGAGTTTTTATCATGAATGGATGTTAAATTTTGTCAGATGCTTTTTCAGCATCTATTGAGATGATCATGTGGTTTTTATCCTTTTTGTTAATGTGGTATATGATATTGATTGATTTACAAATATTGTACCATCTTTGCATCCCTGGAATAAATCCTATATGGCAATCATGCAGCTCACAGACTCCAATACATTATATTTTGTAATAGAAATGAGAAATTTTAAGTTGAATTTCTAAGGGCCACGTGTAGATTAAGATCTGTGTCTTGATTATCACTTAGGAAAATTTTTCTTAAAATAGGTTTCCTTTTGGGAAAAGAATATTCCCCCCACTCCCCCCTTGGAGTTCTTATGTGTGTGATAATGGGTAAGGGATTATGATGGATGATATTTTTGATGTACTTTGAATTTGGTTTCCTAATATTTTGTTGAGGATTTTTGCATCTATGTTCATCAGGGATATTGGTCTGTAATCTTTTTTTGTGGTGTCTTTGTCTGGTTTTGGTCTTAGAGCAGTGTTGGCCTCATAGAATGAGTTTGGAAGTTTTCCCTCCTCTT